CACCACTCACTCACCACCAACACTCACCACCTCTCCCTCTCACACCACCACCTCTCAACACTCAACACCTCCTCACCACCACCACCTCTCCTCTCTCCACTCACCCACCACCTCCTCTCCTCACCACTCTCTCACCACCTCACCACCCCTCTCTCTCTCACCACACTCACCACCTCACCACTCACCCCTCCTCACTCACCACACCTCCTCTCCTCACCACCTCTCTCTCTCACCACCACCACCTCTCTCCCACCACTCACCACCTCTCCTCACCACCTCATCTCTCTCTCACCACTCACCACCCCCCTCTCTCTCCACCACCACCTCCACCACCCCCCCCACCTCACCACCCCTCACCACCTCACCACCTCTCCTCACCACCACCACCTCCTCACCCACCACCACCTCTCACCACCACCACCTCCTCTCCTCACACCACCTCTCCCCACACTCACCACCTCACCACCACCTCACCACTCACCACCTCCTCACCCACCACCTCTCTCACCACCACCACCTCTCACCACCACCACCTCTCACCACCACACCTCTCACCACCCACCTTCCTCCTCACTCACCACCACCTCTCCACCACCCTCTCACCACTCACCACTTCCTGGCCGAACACGTCGAGGGAGGGCGGCGTTTCTTGTCAACATCACCCGCCGTGAACACGTCGGCTGCCTCCCGGCTCCTCGTCCTCCTCTCTAACACGTCACGGCTGTTGGGGGAGAATAGGCGTTAGCGGTGTTAGTTAAGCGTTAGGGCCTCTACAAACGTGTAAGTGTGAGGATGATGGTGGTCGTGTTAGGAAGGTGTTAGATTGATGTTGGTGGTGTTAGAATGATGGTAGGTGTTAGGGAAGGTGTTAAAATAATATTAGTGGTGTTAGAATGATGGTGGTGGTTAGAATGATGGTGGTGGTGTTAGGAAGGTGTTAAAATAATATTAGTGGTGTTAGAATGATGGTGGTGGTGTTAGGAAGGTGTTAAAATAATATTAGTGGTGTTAGAATGATGGTGGTGGTGTTAGGAAGGTGGTGGAAATGTTAATAAACAAGTCCAATATCTGTAGATGGGTGTGTATGTATGTATGTATGTATGTATGTATGTATGTATGTGTATGTAAATTTGCACGTATGTATGTATGTAAATTTGCACGTATGTATGTATGTAAATTTGCACGTATGTATGTGGTACAGTATGTAAAAAAGTGTGTGATACTGTGATACTTTATCACACACACACACACACACACACACACACACACACAGCACATACTACAAAATCATAGCGACACTTCATGACACACCAATCGGTTTGTTTACAAGTCACCCGCAACCAAACACGGCCGAAACAAGGAGTGACGTCACAGTTGCTCACCAACTAGGCTGGGCTAGTAAGTGACATCACGCCCAGCCCACCAATAGCAACCTCAGAAGGCACAAAGTACAGGAAGCCTCGTGACTCAGTACAGTGTTGAAGACGGTCGGTGTTAAGGCCAACATTTCTTCTCGTTATAGTAAGTAATATATTATACGACATTTAATATTGAATAAGAAGTTAATAGTTGTTTTAAGTAATATAAACAAGTATTTAATGTTTTAATCACAGTTAAAACCATAATAATTTGAATTAATATACGTTGTGTCTAGAATTGTTATATTTTATTTAAAAATTAAATCTAGCTACAATAATGTTAAACTATAAAACTACCTATGAACAACACTGAGTGTGGGTAGGTAGGTGGTGCTAGTTGTGGTAGTAGTGGGAGGTGGTGGTAGGTGGTGGTGGTAGGTGGGTGGTGGAGTAGGGGTAGTAGTGGTAGGGTGGGTGGCAGGTAGGTGGTGGTAGGTGGTGGCAGTAGGGGTGGGTAGTGGTAGGTGGGGGTGGGTGGTGGTAGTGGTAGGTGGTGGTGGTAGGGGTGGGTGGTAGTGGCAGGTGGTGGAAGGTGGGTGGCATTGGTTAGGTAGTAGAGGGGGTGGTGGCAGGGGTAGGGGTGGCGTGAGTAGGTGGTGGTAGTGCAGGTGGTAAGGTGGTGATGATTGAGAGGGGGTAGGGTGTGGTAGGTAGTGGTGGTGGGGTGGTGGTAGGTGGTGGTGGTAGTAGTGGTAGGGTGGTGGCAGTGTCCAGGGGTGTAGTGGTAGGGGGTGGTGGCAGGTGGTGGAGTAGGTGAGGGGTGGTGAGGGCAGGTGGTGGTGGGTGGTATGGTGGGAAGGTGGTAAGTGGAGTTAGTGGTAGGGGGGTAAGTGGCTTGGTAGTGGTAGGCAGGCATATTATAGTGGTGAGGGGTGGTGGTAGGTGGTGGTAGTGAGTGGCAGGTGGCAGGGTGGAGTAGGTGGTGGTGAGTGGTAGGGCAGTGGAGAAAGAAAGTAGGTGGTAGGTAGAGTGTAGAGAGCAGGCATTGGTTGGAGAAGGGAGGGGTGGGTGGCAGGTGGCAGTAGTGGATGGTAGGAGCAGTGGTAGGGGTGGCAGGCAGGTGCAGGTGAGGTGGCGTGTTGGAGGCAGGCAGCAGTGGAGGGCAGTGGCAGGTGGTAGTGGTAGGTAGGAGGTAGTGGGTAGGGGGTGGTGGTAGCGTAGGGACTAGTGGTGGTGAAATAAGTGGAGTGGGGGTGGGTGGTGGAGGCAGGTGGTAGCAAGCAGGATGGTAGTGGTAGCTAATGGCAGTAGTAGGTAGGTGGCAGTAGTAGTGGCAGGTGGCAGATAGGGGAAAATATGGTAGATGGCAGAAGTAGTCGCAGGTGTGGAATAGTGTTCATTGTGGCAGGTGGGTGGCAGTGGCAGGGTGGCAGTAGTGAGTGGTGAGTGACGGTGAGGGTGGGTGGTGATGGGTGGGCGGTGGTGGTATTAGTGGTGGTGGTGGTGATGGTGGTATTAGTGGTGGTAGATGGCAGAATAGTAGTAGTGGTGGTGGTGATGGTGGTATTAGTGGTGATGGTGGTATTAGTGGTGATGGTGGTATTAGTGGTGGTGGTAGTGATGGTGGTATTAGTGGTGGTAGATGGCGGAATAGTAGTAGTGGTGGTGATGGAAGTGGTTGGTAGTAATGGTGGTAGTAGCGGTGGTAGTGGTTGGTAGTAATGATGGTAGTAATGATGGTAGTAATAGTGGTAGTTGTTGGTAGTAATGGTAGCAGTAGTAGAAAAAAAGTAGTAGTAGTATTTTTTTTTACGGGGATTAGCCCACCCGGGCACAGAGGTCAAACGGGGGTGGGGCGAAAAAATAAGAACAAAGAAATTAAAATAAAGAAAAAGGTTATACTGTATTAATCTACACCACGGAGATGCCGGAAAACCAGCTTTTTAAAGTGAGACAGATTGTATAAGTATGGAAACACAGAAGAAGGCAGAGCATTCCACAGTTTGGCTGTGTGAGGAAAGAAGGAGGTACTATAACGGGTTATTCTCGTGTGACCGACATCCACAGAGAAACGGTGGGCACCGCGGGCAAGACGTGTGTTACGAGCCCACGGCCTTGCCGGCGGTACACAGGATGCCAAATCCACCGAACATTGCCCGTTAAAGTACCTGTAAAAGAGAGAGAGTGAAGCAACATTGTGGCGAAGAGAAAGGGAAGAAAGATTATCAACTAAAGGAGGAGAGTTAATAAGACGAAATGCCTTTGATTCCACCCTATCTAACAGTTGGACAGAAGAAGAGCCACTCCAGATATGAGAGCAGTACTCCAAGTTAGGACGAATGAATCCCTTATATACTTGAAGCAACTGCTCGGGAGGCAGCTTTAGCTATGCTAAGGATGTGTGATTTCCATGAAATTGGAGGAAATGGTGAGGCCTAGCACATGTATTTCAGAATTTGGCAGAATGATAGCGTCCTGAAATGTAATTGGTGGGAGATCGTCTAATTTACAAAGTGTAATTGGTAAATACTGAGAGTTATTACAATTGAATTTAACCAAGTTTCTACCTCCCCATTCAGAGATGCTGCACAGATCCGCTTGATAGAAATAATGATATCAGCTCTAGAAACAGATCTAGTTTGAGGGTTAGGAGGAAGGGGAAAATGTGAAGAAGAGTGAAGAGTAGAATCATTAGCGTAAGAATAGATATAATTAGTTGTAGTGTGAAGAAAGTCATTAATAAAAAGAAGGAAGAGAGTAGGTGAAAGAACATAACCCTGTGGGACACCACTACTGGTAGAGAGAGAGCGAGAGATCGATCCCTCGACAACAACTGCCATGGATCGGTTCTCAGGAAGCTAGAGATGAGAAAACAAAGTGGGGGAGAGAAACCAAAAGAGGGAAGTTTACATAGCAAAGACTTGTGCCATACCCTGTCAAATGTCTTGGAGATGTCGAGGGCCACGACGAAAGTTTCGCCATAATCCCTAAGAGAGGATGACCAAAGATGGGTGCAGTAGGAGAGCAGATCACCAGTAGATCTCGCCTGGTAAAAGCCATACTGGTGATCCGACAAAAGAGAAAGGCGTTCAAGGTGACGGAGAAAATAGGAGTTTAAGATAGTTTCGAAAATCTTAGAGAGGGATGAAGTTAGGGCAATGGGGCGATAGTTAAGGGATTAGAATGGTCACCCTTCTTCGGGATGGGCTGAACCAAGGCATGCTTCCAAGAAGAAGGAAAAGTTTGGGTTTTGAGGCAAAGGCAAAAGAGGTGAGCAAGCACAGGGGCCAGGGCTTCAGCACACTCCCTCAGAACATGAGGGGGTATTCCGTCCGGTCCATGCGCCTTACTCATATACAACCTGGATAACACACCGGCAACCCAGCGAGTGGAGATTATAGGAAAGTGCATTGGTTCAGTAGGAGGTGCAGGGGTAGGAGGGATAGAGAGGGAATCGTCTAAGATGGAATTAGAGGAGAATAAGGTGCCAAAGAGGTTGGCTTTGTCAGGGGGAGAGTTGGCTATAGAGTTATCAGGCCAGAAGAGAGGAGGTAAAGAAGGAGTGGTGGTAGTAATGGTGGTAGTAGTGGTTGGTGGTAACGTGTTAGGGTGGAGTATATCAGTAAGGTTCTTGGTTACAATGTTTGTACTACCACAACAACAACTATCACCACCACCCCTGCGTGTGTGTGTGTGTGAATTAACTCCTTTACAGCGCCATTATTCACACTTTACAGGACGCTCATTGGCTGCGATCAAGTACATCGGACGTGATTGGACGACAGAGGTTGCTTGGTGATTGGCGGATGAAGATGACGTATGAGCCACGAGGCCCCGGATGAAGCGTAAATGCCTGTTCCTGTACTGAGTTCGTGTTAGAGGGTAATTATGCTTCTGGGTCATGACATTGTATTGCTGTATTTAATTTGCGATAGAGTGACATACATTTATGTTATGGATAGCTTAAAACACACACACACACACACACACACACACACACACAGAAATACTTGCGTACTCACAACACAGACACAGTACATGACCTGGGGGGAGGTGGGGAGTATTTTGTTTGCTTATTCTGCACCTCTGTCTCCCTACAGTACCAGTGAGGTATGACTGGCCTCTACAGTACCAGTGAGGTATGACTGGCCTCTACAGTACCAGTGAGGTATGACTGGTCTCTACAGTACCAGTGAGGTATAACTGGCCTCTACACTACCAGTGAGGTATGACTGGCCTCTACAGTACCAGTGAGGTATGACTGGCCTCTACAGTACCAGTGAGGTATGACTGGCCTCTACAGTACCAGTGAGGTATGACTGGTCTCTACAGTACCAGTGAGGTATAACTGGCCTCTACACTACCAGTGAGGTATGACTGGCCTCTACAGTACCAGTGAGGTATGACTGGCCTCTACACTACCAGTGAGGTATGAGTGGCAGCCATTCTCACCTCACCTCACCTAACCTAACCACCATGGACAGAGACAATAACAATGTCCGGCCGCTGGTGTTGGATCATCGTCACCTCCACTCACTCTCGTTTCCCGTGTTGGCTAGCAAGTATTGTCCCAGCAAAACAAAGCCCTGGCCATTAAACACAACTACAGAAAGTTTAATCACGAACAAACTCAAAATAGGGACATGGAACGTGAGGACATTAAATAAGGATGATAAGTATAGTAAGGTTTGTAGGGAAATGGAAAAGATTACAGTGGGACATTCTGGGATTAAGTGAAGTAAGATGGCTAGGGTCAAATAACATTACTAGTCGTGAAGGATTTAGGTTCATATACTCAGGTGGTAACGAAACATGAGAGAGGTGTTGGTATTCTTGTAAACCATAAGTTGAGCAGAAGTGTTAAGGAATACCGGCCAGTGTCTGATAGAGTTTTGTTAGTCAGGTTAAGTGCTAAACCTGTGGACTTGGTAATAATACAGGTTTATGCACCAACATCTAAAAGTCAGGATGAAGTTCTAGATTTTTTTTATGAAGATTTAAAAAGAACAAAAGAAACTGTTAGATTTAATGAATGTCTGATTATAATGGGTGATTTTAACGGTAAAGTTGGGAAAGGGGAAGAACCACCAGCAGTAGGACCGTTTGGGTTGGGTGAAAGAAATAAAAGAGGGAAAATATTAATTGACTTTTGTATAGAAAATAAACTGATAATTACTAATACATAGTTTGAACATGACTCTAAACATACATGGATCTCACCCAAAGGCAACGCCAGGAATCAAATCGATTACATTTTAATTGATGAAAGATTTAAAAATTCAATAACCCAAACCAAGACCTATCCAGAGGTATGTTGTGGGTCAGATCACATCCCAGTATTGCTAGAGATTGACTTTGGTGAACAAGGACCAAGGAACCAATGCAAAGAAGTAATGTTAGATACTGAGGAAAAACTTATAAGACACAGCAGGAACGCGGCTTACGAGGAACTGAACAAAGAAATGAAAAAGGACTGTAGACAGGCCAAGGAAGATAACATACAAACAAAATGCAAGGATATAAATGACAGGAGGCATAACTATACGGAAATGTACAGAAATAGCACAGAATTGTACCAGAAATACGGAAATAAATGTGGTGGAACTATTAACAGCTAAGACAATGAGATCCTGTTTGAGGCAGAATATTTAAGAGAGAGATGGGAAGAGTACGCAGAAGAACTATACACTGATATGGGTGGAGTAGAGGTAAGACACGAAGAGAAACTAAAGATCGAAATGCCAATTCTGAAAACAGAAGTTGAGGCAACTGAGGACAAAATGGCAAATGATAAAGCTTGTGAGGTTGATCAGCTTCCAGCAGAATTGATGAAACAAATGGGTAAAAACGGGATGAATTATTTGACTAAAATATGTAATATTATTTACTTCAAAGGAAACCTTCCAAGTGATTTAAAAAAATCAATATTTGTAGTATTGCCTACAAAGCCAGGAGCCCTAGAGTGCACCCAGTTTAGAACAATAAGCTTAATAAGTCATGCCTGTAAAGTTTTATTCAACATAATTTTAAGTCGAATAAAGTTTAGAATAGACATTGAGTTATCTGAAGAGCAAAATGGATTTACTAGGGGAAAGGAACTACAGAAGCTATATTTGCTTTGAGAATTTTGAGTGAAAGGGTTTTAGAGGTCCAGAGAAATTTGTATATCTGCTTTGTTGTTTTTGATGAAGCTTTTCATAAGGTAAAGCACAATACACTTACAGAGATCTTGGAAACAATAGGCATTAACGAAGAAGATATTACAATTTTAAAGAGTCTTTACTGGCAACAAGAGGCTGCAGTGTTAGTAAATGATGAACTTAGTAATTGGTTCACAGTTAAACAGGGAACAATGTATAATATATATTCAGAATTATTAACTAGAGAAGTTATAAGTGATAATGAAGGAATAAAAGTTAATGGTAAAGTAATATCAAATATATGCTATGGTGATGGTACTGCTCTTACCATGGAGAGTGAAGAGGCATTACAAAATAAAGTTAACAGGTTAGTGAAAAAAGGTAAAATATATGGCCCAAGAGTTAATGCTGTAAAGACTAAAGTAATGGTTGTTTCCAAGTTACAAATAAATCCTAAAATAAAAATTATGGTTGGCAACAGTGAGCTTCAACAAGTGGAAAATTGTGTGTGTTTGGGAAGTAACATTAGCTGTGATGGTAGATGTATAGAAGAAATCAAAACAAGAATAGGGCGAGCAAAAACAGCATTTAATAATCTAAAAGACCTAATGAAAAAAGACATTAACTTCAATTTGAGAAAAGGTTTACTTAAAGACTTCATATGGCCTGAACTGATGTATGGGTCAGAAACGTGGACACTCTCAGCAGACACCAGACAGAGGTTGGAGGCCTTTGAAATGTGGTGTTATTGGCGGATGTTAAGAATAAGCTACACTGACATGAAAACAAATGAAGAAGTACCAAGGTTAGCAAAAACTTCAAGAGAAATACTTGAAATGTACAGACAAAAAAAAATGGAATACTTTGGTTATATAATTAGGGATGAGGGAATAATTAAAGATTTATTAATGGGTAAAGTTGAGGGTAGGAGGGCTGCGGGAAGGCCGAGACTGGGATGGATGAATGAAATTATAAACTGGGTCCCCAGAGAGATACACAACCTTGAAGAACTGGTAGCAACAGCCGAAAAACCTTCAGAGTGGAGGACTGTGGTCACCAACCCTCAGATGTGAATACAATTCTCTGATTGGTGTATGTATATTATGTATGCTGTATTATATATTATGTATGTATATTATGTATGTGCTCCATTTATATATATTATTTATTCAGCCTAGCTAGCAGCGTGTGGCAATGTAATTACCATGTCCCACATGCTTAATTAATGTGCCTGGCGACATATGGAAGCTGTTAATGTATCACTTGCCATAAGTCGCCTATAGAGCAGTTGACCAGCAGACAGGTCGGAGGGCACTACTCCCCTTGTGTACATATCTCTTATCCAGTAAACCGAACCTACAAAACTATACAGGTGTTTGTGTTCGCTCCTGTATATTGAACTTGTTACCCAGAACACAAACAATTGATGAATAATAGCATTTAGTATTTATTGTCTGGTGTTTGTTTACCGAAGTGTTTAGTATTTTATGTTTATGATATATTCAGATAAACTAAGAATTATTGACATTTTCTATTTCTTAGTATTGGTTAGTGTGAGGGCAATTATTCTTAGTGTGATGATAATCCTTCATACACATACATACTGTACATACATACATACATACATACATACATACATACATACATACATACATATAACAATGGAGCGGAGTTCTGTACTGCAAGTGTGGACAAATGACCGGAATTCTGTCCGGTACAGCTGTGTACTGTATTATGTATTTGGTGAATACTGTACCCGAGTTTACTGTACCGTCTATGTTCAAAATCTTGTCTTTATATTCAGTCCCGTATCACTTACTTGTTTATTGGTTGTTAATTACCTTGTTTGGGATTATATTACAACTGGTATGTAACTAAATTATATTACATTAAAATTATATATGCAAACAGAAGTTTTTATGATATGAGTTTATATCACTGAACAGCTGACACACAGATAGGCCTATTGCGTATATTGCCATTGCAACAGAGTCTCCCTGTGTTCTTCCCTCGGTTGACTGTAGGATGGTATCACCTCTTAGAGCCTTGTTGTTTACTATATAAAGGTCTGATGGATTCCTATACGAGTTTTCAACATACATTGCAAAGCTTGGACACTTGATCTTGATGTTGTGCAGTGCAGTGATGTTGTACCGCTACTACTACTACTACTACCATTACTACTATTACTGCTACAACTACTACTACAACTTTTCCTCATAAAGAGTTTGTCAAGTCATTCCACAACACAGCTTAGTGGAATGACAGACAGTGAGACATAGACAGGGTTATAAACCATCGATGTCTTAAATAACACGAAATTATGGCTGTTTGATTTGCTTCAGACACTGACAGAGAAAAACATGCAATAAGTCAGAAACTATGATAGCTTAGACATACTTAAGACATAATAATAACTTATAAACAGATTCAACAGGAGACAAAGGGTTCCTTCCTGTTGGTATAGTCTGTTAACAGGAACGGACAGACAAATTATGACTATGAATGGCTCAGATAATTCGACTTTCAAGCTTAAAAACAAGGGGATTAACCACCCCAGCTTATTTTACCTAGAGATTAACCACCCCAGCTTATTTTACCTAGAAATTAACCACCCCAGCTTATTTTATCTAGAGTTTATCCACCCCAGCTTATTTTACCTAGAGTTTATCCACCCCAGCTTATTTTACCTAGAGATTAACCCCCCTTATTTTACTATTTTTTACCTGAGATTAACCACCCAGCTTATTTTACTTTATTTTACCTGAGATTAACCACCCAGCTTATTTTACCTAGAAATTAACCACCCCAGCTTATTTTGCCTAGAAATTAACCACCCCAGCTTATTTTACCTAGAGATTAACCACCCAGCTTATTTTACCTACTGTAGAGATTAACCACCCAGCTTATTTTACCTAGAAATTAACCACCCCAGCTTATTTTACCTAGAAATTAACCACCCCAGCTTATTTTACCTAGAAATTAACCACCCCAGCTTATTTTGCCTAGAAATTAACCACCCCAGCTTATTTTACCTAGAGATTAACCACCCCAGCTCATTTTACCAATAATATACATCATACACACCAACAATAATACACACTGGATGAAACAATTGATATTAATGAGTAAGTTTATTCATCCATAATAAATACCATTATAATATTGTATACATGAATAAATATCACGTGAGCCCATGTATAATATTAATGTATAAATTTATATATATATGAATAATTATCGTGTGTTGCCATGAATAAAAAAATAATGTTTATAAAAAAATGCATAAATGACTATAATTTTATTTTATATTGACAGAATTGTTAATAAAATATATAACTTGTTATTGTTGTAGATACTTTATATAACTGATCCCTATATCCATTAGAGGGGGGTGTTAGGACCCTCGATATAACGGACATTCATTCCATATAGTCCGCTATGTGGGGGTTTGACTATATACTAACAGCAGAGAACCATCAGAGGCCAACACACTGTACACCACGGGGCCGGATTCTCAAAAACATTTATGGGACTGTATGTCGTTGTGTACCCCGTAACTGGACTTACTCAAAACACAGATGGTATACTCAAAACACAGATGGTATACTCAAAACACAGATGGTATACTCAAAACACAGATGGTATACTCAAAACAAATATTTGACATCGAACTCCGTAAGTTAAAGCGCCTAACTTACACCAGCTCCTGAGGCTGTGTAACACTCAACCCGGATGTAGTAGTGACTAATTCCTGATTGTATAAAAAATAATAATAATATATGTTGTAATAATGCTTGTTAGACTTGTTTTATCATAGACTAATGAAGAAAATGTTTTGTACATCATCATACTGAAATATAATATTTCACTTTGTCTTTTTCGTAACTTTTTTGTTGCCATAATAAGCGGCTTGAGTGTTTGTATTTGTCTCAGTTTGGAAGAGACGCATCTTTTGTTTTCTTACACATTATAAAGTATTTTTTACCAAAACAGAAGGTTTGTATTGTTCACACTTAGGGTAAAGATATGTTTTATGACTGAGTAACTTATAGATAGAACTTATTAATGTTGTATAGCCGTAAATATCCCTCTGTAATGAAAGCCAAATATGAGGTCAAGTGAACATTCCTGCCAAGACTTCGCCTTGTTTTTCTAATGTACTGTATATGACTTATGATAACATGAAAGGCTATAAATTTCCATTGGTAGGCCAAAATTAAATGATATTAGGCGTAAAATATGGATTGCAATTAACTTGATTAATAGAGGCCTATATAACTGCTTTTTCAGTCTTAGGCAAATAAATGTTTAAACGTGGGGCCTACTTAATTTAGTTAGAACATGAGGATTATTTAAATAAGAAATTATACCAATAGGTTATAGGTTAGATAGGTTCGGTTTGGTTATGTTATGTTATGGCATGTTAGGTTATGTTAGGTTAGAGAATGTGTACATGGTTTTTGGTGAGCGTCAGGCCGTCAGTGAGACACTTTGTCTAGCAGCTACCTTAGGCCTAGTTCCAGACTTTCCTTGAACCTTATCATTGGTAGAGTATTAATTTAAGAACATTTACGGCTAATCCAATATATTTTCAGGTTATAAATTGTTGTTTTTTGTATGAACTTGAAGACAATTCAAACCAAATGTTCCCAACATTGAAAGGAAAACACCAGGGTCTAGGCTAAATGAGTAATTTAAGAGAAGTGATTTGTCATTTAGGTTCGGCAAGACTATGCTATCAATAACCAATTTATTTGAATTTGCCCAGAATAGCGTATAATTCAGCCTCACTGAAATTAGGCCGTCTCTTCTTGGCTGGTGGTCCTTCCATGTTTACAAAATAATATTATGTGCATCGCTCTCAGCTGATTTCTCCTTCTCTTGTGATTGGTTGATGATTTTGTTAACTGAGCGCTGATTGGCCAACTAGCTCCTGCAATGACATCTACCTTCCGACAAGAGAACTTAATTTACAGGGTAAACACTAGAGTTATGAAAACTTAGGAAAGGCTTACGGAACTGTAATTAAATTTTGAGCATGCTACATTTACGGTACTGTAAAGATTCGACAATATATGGTACTGTATCATGCTGAAAGACGTAACTTATGAGGTGTTTTGAGTATCCGGCCCCACGTCATCACACTGTACAGTATGTCATCACACTGTACAGTATGTCATCACAATGTACAGTACGTCATCAAACTGTACACTACGTCATCACACTGTACAGTACGTCATCACACTGTACAGTATGTCATCACACTGTACAGTACGTCATCATACTGTACAGTACGTCATCACACTGTACAGTACGTCATCACACTGTACACTACGTCATCACACTGTACAGTACGTCATCACACTGTACAGTACGTCATCACACTGTACAGTACGTCATCACACTGTACAGTATGTCATCACAATGTACAGTACGTCATCACACTGTACACTACGTCATCACACTGTACACTACGTCATCACACTGTACAGTACGTCATCACACTGTACAGTATGTCATCACACTGTACAGTACGTCATCACACTGTACAGTATGTCATCACACTGTACAGTACGTCATCACACTGTACAGTACGTCATCACACTGTACACTACGTCATCACACTGTACAGTACAGTATGTCATCACACTGTACAGTACGTCATCACACTGTACAGTACGTCATCACACTGTACAGTATGTCATCACACTGTACAGTACGTCATCACACTGTACACTACGTCATCACACTGTACACTACGTCATCACACTGTACAGTACGTCATCACACTGTACAGTATGTCATCACACTGTACAGTATGTCATCACACTGTACAGTACGTCATCACACTGTACAGTATGTCATCACACTGTACAGTACGTCATCACACTGTACAGTACGTCATCACACTGTACACTACGTCATCACACTGTACAGTACGTCATCACACTGTACAGTATGTCATCACACTGTACAGTATGTCATCACACTGTACAGTACGTCATCACACTGTACAGTATGTCATCACACTGTACAGTACGTCATCACACTGTACACTACGTCATCAGTGTGTGTGTGTGGAGGTTAGACACTGTACTCGACCACCTTCACTTCCCAAACTGTAATATCAGGCTACCCATTTACAGCCCCGGGATCGAACCAGCGATCCCTTAAAACAGAAGGCGAACGCAGTAACCACTCGGCCACGGAACCCCAAGCATACACAATACTTAAGAACAAATGAAGCATGAACACTACATACATAAGGCAAAAACTAAACATACACAAACAAGGAACAAATACACAGAAGTTGGACGTAACAAAAACATTATCTACACTAAGACACAAAAACAATCAATAATGTGTGGCAACTCGTCTGTATCTCTTAACATATTTCCACTATTTTATAATTTTTACAGGTTTAACTTCACTAATCATCCTGGGAATAGAATTAAATTTTATCTCTAGGATGAACTACAATACTTTAAGAGGTTTTTATCCTAGGAGAAAAATACAGTATTACACAGTTCACATCCAGGGTAATCAGGAGTCGAGATTCTCAAAGGTTCTTAAGATAAATATTTCAAGGTATAAGAACGCATCTAACAGGTTAAATTTAATTAAAATACAAATAAAAAATAATATTGATAATCTTTGAAAGTTTCCACGTGTTAATTTTGTCTCCTAACTGGTGCTAAGTGAACGTATCTAGTTAAAGTAGAGTCTCAGTGTTAATTTTGTCTCCTAACTGGTGCTAAGTGAACGTATCTAGTTAAGGTAGAGTCTCAGTGTTAATTTTGTCTCCTAACTGGTGCTAAGTGAACGTATCTAGTTAAGGTAGAGTCTCAGTGTTAATTTTGTCTCCTAACTGGTGCTAAGTGAACGTATCTAGTTAAGGTAGAGTCTCAGTGTTAATTTTGTCTCCTAACTGGTGCTAAGTGAACGTATCTAGTTAAGGTAGAGTCTCAGTGTTAATTTTGTCTCCTAACTGGTGCTAAGTGAACGTATCTAGTTAAGGTAGAGTCTCAGTGTTAATTTTGACTCCTAACTGGTGCTAAGTGAACGTATCTAGTTAAGGTAGAGTCTCAGTGTTAATTTTGTCTCCTAACTGGTGCTAAGTGAACGTATCTAGTTAAGGTAGAGTCTCAGTGTTAATTTTGTCTCCTAACTGGTGCTAAGTGAACGTATCTAGTTAAGGTAGAGTCTCAGTGTTAATTTTGTCTCCTAACTGGTGCTAAGTGAACGTATCTAGTTAAGGTAGAGTCTCAGTGTTAATTTTGTCTCCTAACTGGTGCTAAGTGAACGTATCTAGTTAAGGTAGAGTCTCAATGTTAATTTTGTCTCCTAACTGGTGCTAAGTGAACGTATCTAGTTAAGGTAGAGTCTCAATGTTAATTTTGTCTCCTAACTGGTGCTAAGTGAACGTATCTAGTTAAGGTAGAGTCTCAATGTTAATTTTGTCTCCTAACTGGTGCTAAGTGAACGTATCTAGTTAAGGTAGAGTCTCAGTGTTAATTTTGTCTCCTAACTGGTGCTAAGTGAACGTATCTAGTTAAGGTAGAGTCTCAATGTTAATTTTGTCTCCTAACTGGTGCTAAGTGAACGTATCTAGTTAAGGTAGAGTCTCAATGTTAATTTTGTCTCCTAACTGGTGCTAAGTGAACGTATCTAGTTAAGGTAGAGTCTCGGTGTTAATTTTGTCTCCTAACTGGTGCTAAGTGAACGTATCTAGTTAAGGTAGAGTCACATTATTAATTTTGTCTCCTAACTGGTGCTAAGAAAATCCAAATTAATCTATCTCAGAAATTAATCGTAAGTGGACATTAATTCTTGTTCTCTCACCTCCCACTGAGAGAAAATAAGAGACCTTTGAGAATCTGGGTGAGGAGGGGGAGGAGAAGGGAGAAGAAGAGAAGGGAGAAGAGGGAGAGAAGGGAGAAGAGGGAGAGAAGGGAGAAGAGGGAGAGAAGCGTGTGGCAGACTCATCATAACATCAACTAAACTACTTCACTATATTGTTATTTATTTGATGTAAAGGAACCAAACTTAACCTAACCGAAATTACCATAGGAACCACAAACTTAGATTAGGTTAGGTTAAATTAGGGTAAGGTTAGGTAAGGTTAGGTTCCGTAAAGCTAGGTTAGGTTAGGTTAGGTTAGGTTAGGTTACGTTACGTTACGTTAAGATATATGAGAGAAGATGAAATTAAGTTACGTTAGGTTAGGTTGGGTTGGGTTAGGTTGGGTTAGGTTAGGTTGGGTTAGGTTAGGTTAGGTTGGGTTAGGTTAGGTTAGGTTGGGTTGGGTTGGAATTGGGTTGGGTTAAATTGGGTTGGGTTAGGTTAGGTTGGGTTAGGTTGGGTTAGGTTAGGTTGGGTTGGTTGGGTTAGGTTAGGTTGGGTTAAGTTAGGTTGGGTTAGGTTGGGTTAGGTTAACATAAGCTGGGCCAGGTTAGGTTAGGTTCCGTAACGTTAGATCTCTATTAACGTTACATGGAAGGACCAACACAGTACATGTGACGGAGACCAACTCACTGTCTATAACGGGCAAGAGTCCTTTCGTCGTAAGAACATATACCGCAGACGAGGAAGCTGCAGAGGGCGGGGAGGGGCAAGTGCAAGCAACTGTCGGGTGTCTGGGTGAGGGTGAGGAGTGGGCGTGCTGGTCAGCTGGCCGGCTGAACGCAAGCTCAGGAGAGAGCGGAGGGCGTCTGATGGGCGGCAATATGGTGACAAGCATGAGGGCAGATTGGCGGCGTACTGGTGAGTCTTGGGAAGACAGGTGGTTGGGGGCAGTGGGTGCGGCGTGGGCGAGGGGTCATGAGCGAGGCTGACTCTGTCGTGGGTCAGGCAACCCACGCACACCTTCGCTTCAGGTGTTGTTCTTATCCAGCTTCTGTAGATGTAACGTTAGATGTGGCAACGTTAGATGTAACGTGTTAGATGGCAGCAAAAGAAGCTGTGGCACTGCAAGGATGGCAGTGTTAGATGCGGCAACGTGCTGATGTGGAAACGTTAGATGTGGCAACGTGTTAGATGGCAGCGGTTAGATGTGGCAACGGCCATGGAAAGTGTTAGATGTGGCAGCGTTAGATGTGGCAGCGAGAAGTGGCAGCGCAAGGATGTAAGCGGTTACGGCAGCGTACAGATGTAAACGTTGATGTGGCAACGCGTTAGATGCAACGCAAGATGGGCAGCGATGGCAACGCCCGGGATGGGCAACATTAAATAGCAGCATTAGATGTGGCAACGTTATGAGGCACGTGTTAGGAGGCAACGTTAGATGTGGCAAACGTGTTGATGAGGCGATGAGTAGCAACGTTGTTGCAACGTTGATGGCGTTCAGATATGGCACGTGTTGATGGCAACGTGTTAGATGTTTAAATGTTAGATAAAACGCAATAGATGGGCAATTTACAGGGCAACGCGTTAGAGCGCAACGTGTTAGATGGCACGTTACCGATGGAACGACAGATGTGGCAATGTTAGATGGCAACGTGTTAGATGTGACAACGTGAGATGCGGCAATGCAAGACGTGGCACACGCGATAGATGTGGCAACGTGTTAAGATGAGGATGGTTAGATGGGCACCGCGGAGGCAATGCGTTAAGGGCAACGTGTTGATAAAGAATAGTTATAAAAAGACTTGCGGTGTTCAGTTAAAACATATGTGGCAATAAAGGCAGCGTACCTTTTGCGCGCATATGGCAACACTTGTATCACGTACTCTTTACGGCTATTGATGATAATCTTTATTCAACTGAATACACGCGCGGTTGCTGTACCCTCAACATTTTTCATTAAAATTTAAACACATGAGTTCTGAATGTTTTGAGACATTGGTCTCTCTCACATCCCTGTTCTGTTTGTCTAACAACTACCCACTGGTTCAAGGTACTGTCAGCATGCTCAGATACGTAGTTAAATGCACTGTGGATGGTTCTGCAGGAAACCAGGCAAGTTTCTTTACGCCATATTTGCTCAACGAGCAGTAATTGGGAAACTGAGCGTTAATTACTATGATCAGTTCTGGGTAACAGTTAGTTGTGCATACAGAAAGAAGTCCTGACTTTCTACTCATTCTGAATAAGGAGTCTGTTAACTCAGGGGCAAAGCAAGAAGTATACAGCCTGTCTGGAAGACGAAATGCAGCCACAATCCCAGGTGGGTTACGAGCCAAGGAGTAGCTTCTACACCTTAAACATTTTGTCATGTTTTAACTCAGGTTGCTGTTGGAGAGTAGCCCTTTCACCTTAAGCACTGGACATGCAGCTCGTTAACCCAGGTGGGTTACAAAGGCGACAGCTTTGGCACCTTAAACACTGGCCGCAGCCTGTTGAACCAGGTGCTATGTTGGCGACAGCCATAATCTTTTTAAACACTGGTCATGCAGCTCATTAACCCAGGGTGTGGTGCCAAAGGCGACACGGCATCCAAAGACTGGGTCATGCAGCCGTTAACTCAGGTGTATACATGTGTTGGCGCTGGTACCGCACCTTAAGCATCAGCTGCGCAGCTCGTTAACTCAGGGTGTGGTATGTTAAGGACGCTTTACATTCAAACATCGGGCCGCAGCCTGCGGCCCCAGGGTGTTGGCAAAGCTGGCGTCAGCTCACCCACATCACGCAGCCGTTAACCCAGGGGCGCAACCTGTGTTGGCGCTGGGCTTCTACACTTCAAGCATCAGGGGTCATGCAGCTCGTTAACTCAGGGAAGGTTAAAGGGCGAGGCTTCTCTACCCAAACATCAGTCATGCAGCCTGTTAACTCAGGGTGTGAAGGTTGTGTTATGACAGCCTCACACCTTAAACACTGGGCTGCGCAGCTCTGTTAACTCAGGGTGTGTGGGTTACAAAGTTGGCGAGCACACCTCAAACACTGTCATGCAGCCTGTTAACTCAGGTGTGGTTGTGTTGGCGACAGCCTTGCACCTTAAACCACTGGGTCATGAGCCCGTTAACACAGGGGTGGTTAAGTTAAAGCTGACACAGCCTCACACCATAAGCACAGGTCATGCAGCTCGTTAACTCCAGGGTGGTTGTTAAGTTGGCGACAGCCTCTGCACTCAAACACTGGGTCATACAGCCCGTTAACTCAGGGTGGTTGTTGTGTTGGCGACAACCTCTACACTTAAACATCGTCATGCAGCTCGTTAACTCAGGGTGGTAAGTGTTGGCGACACGCACACCTTAAACACTGCAGCTCGTTAACTCAGGGTGTGGTTGTTGTGTTGGCGACAGCCACACCCAAACACTGGGTCATGCAGCTCGTTAACTCAGGGTGTGGTTGTTTGTGGCGACAGCTTCTGCTCATACTGGGTCATGCAGCTCGTTAACTCAGGGTGTGGTTCTTGTGTTGGCGTCAGCCTCTACATAAGCACTGGGACATACAGCTCGTTAACTCAGGGTGTGGTTGTTGTGTTGGCGACAGCCTCTACACCTTAAACACTGGGTCATGCAGCTCGTTAACTCAGGGTGTGGTTGTTGTGTTGGCGACAGCCTCTACACCTTAAACACTGGGTCATGCAGCTCGTTAACTCAGGGTGTGGTTGTTGTGTTGGCGACAGCTTCTACACCTTACTGGGTCATGCAGCTCGTTAACTCAGGGTGTGTGGTTGTTGTGTTGGCGACAGCTTCTACACCTTAAACACGGATGCGGCTCGTTAACTCAGGGTGTGGTTGTTGTGTTGGCGACCTTCTGCACCAAACACTGGGTCATGCAGCTCGTTAACTCAGGGTGTGGTTCTTGTGTTGGCGTCAGCCTCTACAAGCACTGGGTCATGCAGCTCGTTAACTCAGGGGTGTGGTTCTTGTGTTGGCGTCAGCCTCTACATAACACTGGGACATGCAGCTCGTTAACTCAGGGGTGTGGTTCGTGTTGGCGTCAGCCTCTACACCTTAAGCACTGGGTCATGCAGCTCGTTAACTCAGGGTATGGGTGGTTGTGTTGGCAACACATCTTAAACACTGGGTCATGCAGCTCGTTAACTCAGGTTGTGTTTGTTGTGTTGGCGTCAGCCTCTACCATAAGCACTGGGACATGCAGCTCGTTAACTCAGGGTGTGGTGGTTGTGTTGGCGACAGCCTCTATAAACACTGGGTCATGCAGCTCGTTAACTCAGGGTGTGGTTCTTGTGTTGGCGTCAGCCTCTACACCCCTTAAGCACTGGTCATGCAGCTCGTTAACTCAGGGTGTGGTTTTGTGTTGGCGACAGCTTCACATCTTAAACACTGGGTCATGCAGCTCGTTAACTCAGGGTGTGGTTGTTGTGTTGGCGTCAGCCTCTATATAAACACTGGGTCATGCAGCTCGTTAACTCCAGGGTGTGGTTGTTGTGTTGGCGACAGCCTCTATAAACACTGGGTCATGCAGCTCGTTAACTCAGGGGTGTGGTTGTTGTGTTGGCGTCCCTCTACACCTTAAACACTGGGTCATGCAGCTCGTTAACTCAGGGTGTGGTTGTTGTGTTGGCGTCACCTCTACACCTTAAACACTGGGTCATGCAGCTCGTTAACTCAGGGTGTGGTTGTTGTGGCGTCAGCCTCTACACCTAAACACTGGCCATGCAGCTCGTTAACTCAGGGTGGTGGTTGTTGTGTTGGCGACAGCCTCTACACCTTAAACACTGGGTCATACGCTCGTTAACTCAGGGTGTGGTTGTTGTGTTGGCGACAGCTTCTACCTTAAACACTGGGTCATGCAGCTCGTTAACTCAAGGTGTGGTTGTTGTTGGCGTCAGCCTCTACACCTTAAACACATTCACGCTCCCTGCAGGCAGACAGACAGACTGATCGTCTCTCTGTCTTGGCGCCCAGCTTCGTCTGTCTGACAGTCTGGACGGATCATATCACTATAATCAATTTAAACCAGGTACTATAATTCTGCTATTACAACCTATAGCACAACAATCATCTATAACACTCTTACTCTGACTCACAACACTACAACACGGACTCACAACACACTACAACACCGACTCACAACACTGACTCACAACACACTACAACACTACAACACTGATTCCAATTCACAACACCGACTCAACACACTGACTCACAACACACTACAACACCAACTCACAACACTACAACACTGACTCCTCACCAGATCAGTGACCTTGTAGTGACTCATGGACAATAACTCACAGTAAGCAGATGAGTCATGACTGGAAGTGAAATGTTAAGGGGTGACTCACTCAAGCAACTGCCTATTAACGAGTCAATATATTATAGTAAACTTTATATACGTTTTAGAATATTTTATATATCATTATTTCATCTAACATCTGGTAATAATAATAATAGTGATAATACTCTAATATATAAAATAATAACAATAACAATAATAATATAGTAACAATAACAATAACAATAATAATAATAATAATAATAATAATAATAATAATAATAATAATAATAATAATAATAATAATAATAATAATAATAACAATAATAATAACAAGGATCGTAATAGGAGACTGTACTCGCGCCCCGCCCATCACCACCTCACAACACACAAGCAACTTCAAGCAGACAAAATCAATCACTGTTTTTATATGATGAGTTGACAGACAGACAGACAGACAGACAGACAGACAGACAGACATGCATATAGACAAACCGTCATACAGAATTATTGTTTAAATACTCGCAGATGTAAATAATAATAATAACAATAATAATAACAATAATAATAATAATAATAATAATAATAATAATAATAATAATAATAATAATAAGTTAAACTAATATCCATTTTTTTTATAAATAATAAGTGTTAAATCATAATCTTTTCCCTACACAAACCACTTGTATTAAAATGTGTTAAATTCTCTTTTTTTTAACTTTCGGTGTTAAAGTGCATGTTAATTTTTTTGGGATTTGAGTTTTTAGTTCAGTCATGTTCGTTCAATATGTGTAAAGTTCGTGTGGTTCGGGAGTTCAGTGGCGGGTTCATCAAATTCAATGTGGCGGGTTCAATGTGGCGGGGTTCAATGTGGCAGGGGTTCAATGTGTGAGGGGTTCAATGTGTGGGGTTCAATGTGAGGTTCAGTGTAGGGGTTCAGATGGGGTTTCACCTTTGGTCACGGGTTCCAAGGTGAGTGAACCTCTCTATGATACACTATAATGAACCTCTTTGAAATGATTTAAACCTCTTCAGACCCTCGAAATCAATTTACACTCTTAACTGAACCTCTGATTTATTAAGCCTGACCTTACGGATGTAGAAATAGAACCTACTTTTATGTTATATAAGAGTTCGTTTTATCGGGGTTTCTGAGCGTTTAAGGTTCAAAGCTCGGGGGTTTAAGCGTCACCTCACCTCTCTCTCACACACACACACACACACACACACACGATTTTTTCACCAAGTTTCCGTTTTCTTTCACAATATAAGACCTGACTACTACATATCACCATGTTGCATATATCGTCACCACTTGACTGTCACTACCTCACTACCCCTACACATCTTCAACGACACACTACACTTACTTATAACCCGTACTTAACACTTTATTCCCCGTATTATAAGTGTGGGAGTTCTATATATAAGTGGCGATGTTCCTCAGGTGAACAGAAAAGTCGTAAGGTTATATCTGCTTTAATTTATCATAAGTCAGGTTTTGTGAGAGAGACAGACAGAGATATTTGTGATTATCTCCTCCCCTGACACTGACGGAGAGATTATAGTAAGGAGAGACACACCACACCACCACAGTCCACCACCACAGTCCACCACCACAACAACACTTAGATTTAAGTTCAAGAAATAAACCTTCTTCTCAAATCCACTTTTTTTTTCAATTCCCTATTTTTTACATTTCATTAACGAGGAGATAATGACCGTGAGGAGAGATATAGAGAGACACACGCACAGAGATACACCTGAGGGAGAGATATATATAAACTGTTGCATCACTACCACACTACCACACACAGTATAAATAATTCAGTCCCCAAAAAAAGACATACCCCCTTCCTCTCAAGTAGTTCCTCGATGCCTAGAGCCTTGTACACTTGTTCCCTGTATTCCTCTGCCTGCTGTTTCTTCACTTTAGCTCGTTCGTAGTTTTCTGTGTCAATGGCGTGTCTCTTCTCTATCTCGTACTTGCCTAGCCGTTCTCCTGCCGTACGTAGCTGAGTCACTGCCGCTCTCAGTTTATTGGCGTACTCGAAGCGTTCCTCTGGGCGGGGCGACACACCACAGAAAACGGGAATAACAGAAAATGGTTTATCTCAGAAAATGGTTACTTAATTTTAACCGTAAATAGATATATATATATGTGACACTGTGTTAACTATATTGGCTTTACGTTACAGTATTGATGACTATCTTAGTGCATGGATAGTATAAATAATATACATGGTACTATGAGAGAGAGAGAGAGAGAGAGAGAGAGAGAGAGACTGTACTAGAATAGAAACAAAAACAAAAAAAGGCGAAGAGAAACACAGGAGAAAGAGAAAGACAGCAACCAGCACAACACTCACAGTAAAGATACTATTAAAGTGACACCTAGCCCCTTCACCGTGACTCACCTGCCGCGGGAAACGTTTAAATGAAGACTATTATAACACCTGAGTCACGCTCCTCTTGACCTACCCTGCCTGACCTAAGCTTAACCCAAACCAACTTAACCTACCCAACCTTAACCTAATTTGACTTGGCCTGACTTAGCCTAACCTAACCAAACCTAACTAACACAGCCTGACCTGACAAACCAAACCAAACCTAACCAAACCTGGCCTGACCCTCCATCTTCTTACAACCTAACCTAAACCTAACCTAACCTAACCTAACCTAACCCCTAACCAAACCTAACCTGACCTAACCCTAACTGGCCTAACCTAACCTGACCTGACCTGACCTGACCTAACCTAACTGTTTCACGTAACAATACTCAATATTTATACAAGATAGTGAGACAATTGTGTATCCTAATTAGTGGTTACGTGAGCGTATCTATAGGTAGTCTCCCACACTCTCCCACACACTCACTCCCTCCCTCCCACACTCCTTCCCTCCCACACACACTCCCTCCCTCCCTCTCCTCCTCCTCCCACACTCACACACTCCCTCCCTCCCACACTCTCACACACTCCTCCTCCACACCTCCCTCCCCTCCCTACACTCCTCCCTCCACTCTCACACCCTCCTTCCCCTTACTCCTTCCCTCCACACCTCCTTCCCTCCCCTCTCCACACATTCCCTCCCACCTCTCCCTTCCTCCCACACCTCCCTCCCTCCCACTCTCCACCTCCCTCCTCCACACTCTCCCCCCTCCCACTCTCCCTCCTCCCACTCTCCCTCCTCACACTCCTCCCTCCTCACACTCTCCTTCCTCCCACACTCCTCCCTCCACTCCCCACCACACCTCCCTCCTTACTACACTCTCCTCCCTCCCACTCCTTCCCTCCCACACTCTCCCTTCCTCCACTCCTCCCTCCCACACTCTCCCACACTCCTTCCTCCCACACTCTCCACCTCCTCCCTCCCTCCCTCACACTCCTCTCCCTCCCACACTCCCTCCCTCCACACACTCCCACCTCCTCCCTCTCACACACACTCCCTCCCTCCACACGCTCCCACCTCCCTCCCTCCTCTCACACACTCCCTCGCTCTCATACACTCCTCCCTCCCACACACCACTCTTCCCTCCCACACACCTCCTCCCTCCCCACACGCCCCCACACACCCCTCCCTCCCCTCTCACACACTCCCTGCCTCCACACACCCCCTCCCCACACTCCCTCCCTCCCCACGCTCCCACACTCCCTCCCTCCTCTCACACACTCCTCCCACACACCCACACTCCTCCTCCCCACACACTCCACACACTCACTCCCCACACACGCCCTCCCTCCCACACACTCTACCTCTCCTCCCACACACCCCCCTCCCACACCCTCCTCCCTCCCACATCCTCCTGCCTCACCACACCCCCTCCCACACCCTCCTCCCACACGCTCCCACACGCCCCCTCCCCCTCCCTCTCCACACCTCCCCTCCCACACACTCCCCACACACCTCCTCCCACACACCCCACACCCACCCCCTCCCACACACCTCCCTCCCTCCCCACACACTCCCCCTCCCCACACACCCCACACACCCCCTCCCTCCCCACACACCCACTCCCCCCTCCCACACCCCTCCCTCCCACACGCTCCCACACACCTCCCTCCCTCCCTCTCACACACTCCCTCCCTCCCCACACCCACACCTCCCACACCTCTCCCACACCCTCACCTCTCACGGCAGCACCTACGGTCCTCCAGGGTGCCGACGTACATAGCGAAGGCCAGGTCATGATAGAGAGGTACCTCCTGCTGGCGGCCTCCCGGTACCTGGCCTCCTTCACCGTCAGGAGATACACTGTTGTTGTTGGCCTCTACCTCATTACTCTTCGCGTTGAGGGCCACCAACCCGATCTGTGGGAGGCAAGAGAGGTGTGAAATGGTGGTAGATTGTGGTAGGTGGTGTTGGTAGGTGGTT